AATAAAATAAAATAAAATAAAATAAAATAAAATAAAATAAAATAAAATAAAATAAAATAAAATAAAATAAAATAAAATAAAATAAAATAAAATAACATAAAATAAAATAAAATGAAATAAAATAAGAAAAAAGAAACAAAAACTTTATTGGTAGAAGTTATCTATCTTCTATACATATATATACGACGCGAAGGGATTTTTTGTCCAGGATAAAAGATCTGTAGGGTTCGCCCGATTTTCACAAATGAAATCTCAAATTTAAGCGCATGGTCTGCAGTGTGCAAGCTGGTTTTAGTTTTTCGAAATTCAAATTATTTAATAATCAATGCCACCAAATCCGCACCGTTCGTTCGATTTTCCAAAATGAGGCACAAAACTAAAAGCCGTGGACTGTAGATGTGCAACAAGGTTTTACTTTTTTGAAAAGAGTTGACACCTTTTAAAAAATTATATTTAAATTATTAAAAAAAGTAATAAATCAATTATTACAAACTTTGTACGAATTGAAATGGTTTTGAAAAGCTTTGTTTATTAGCTGAACTATAGGAGGGTTACCACCAGCTTAAAAAATCATATTGGGTAAGAGAAATATGTATCACAATATGGGTGCCAAACGAAAGGGGTTTCAGAAAGTCGTAGTTTGAAAATGTTTTGAAAAGGGTTGCCACCAGATTGAAATGTCGAATTCGGTTGAAACACAAGTTATACGAAATATCAAACGAAGGAATGTTAAGAAATCTTTAGCTTGAACGCTACGAATATATTTGAGGTGTTGGAAGGGGGCCACCTCCTGTTTAAAAAGTTAAATTCAAATTATTTTATAAGTGAAATTAATTATTAAAGTATGAGTATTAATCGAAGGAGGTTTTTATTTCTGAACTGCATTTAGCAGGGTTGCCGCATGTTTGAAAATTAAAAGTGAACCTAATTCATGAGTTAATTAAAATATGTATCGCAGTGGTCGGCGAAGGAGAGTTAACAATGATTAAGCTTGTAAATACTTTTGAAGACGGCTGCCACCTGTTTGAAAGGTCTAGCTTAATTAACTTATTCAAAAAGTATATGAAATATAAAAATACCGGAATCAGAATTTAACAGAAAACCCTTAATTTGATTAAGTAGGTTTGGCGGTTAATTAATTTATGCTGGCATTATCTTGTGCACATGAGGCCAGTAAATCGGATACGGCTAAGCCGGTTTCCGCCTTCAATCTAAGCAATTTGGTGCGAATTTTTACTGAGTTTTAATATCCCTATGCACACGTGCGATGGGTTGAAAAAATTCCCAGTTATTTATTATTAATAATAATATTAATTTTTTTATATTAGGTCTTTTTTACAAACACCAAACAAAATAAAATAGGCCATTGAATCAGTTTTTTGTAGGTTAATAATTAATAATTTATGATTAAAATTAATTAATCTTAAAGATGATTAAGATTAATTAATTTTAGTCGTTAACCATGATTAATAGTTTAATCGTAAGTTCTAAATCGTCAATCCGATTAACATTTTCCCAACACTGGTTTTTCACTATTTATCGATTTGATTTCAATACCCTAAAGGACCCTTCAACACTTAGCACTTCCGATGGGGAAAATAAATCCAGAAACTCGAAATCTATCTTTTGAACTCGTCGGCATCAGGTGAGTGCAAAGACCATCGCGTAACATATTTTAAAATAAGTTTAACTCTAAGCGGCTATACTCTTACGACTTAGTTAAAATTTTCGAATCGCATAGTAACTCCGCGGCATTCATAACATACGTTACCACTTTGAACTTCTAATATATTATATAACCGTTTACCTAAAAGTGGCATAAAATGGGAATCTACTTCCATTTCAAATAGTATACTTTCATCTTACTTACATCTAAAAATCCCTCAGTAGACAATTTATCATTTTCGTTATGTATATTTTTTAGCTTTCGAGCATTTATCGCTATATCTTCTTCTTCGTCTACAACTTCAAACGGTACAAAGCTGGCACAGGTTTCTAGCTTCTTAATTGAATCGGGCTGCGCTTTTATAACTGGAAGCATATATAAATCAGTTATCTTATTATGTATTTTTAACTGAGAGATCTCTCTAAACCAATTGAGAGAGTAAACTTTACTTACATGGCAGCATTAGCAAACCCTCAGCCGAAGTGTTACCTGCCATGATAGGTATTGTATTACTCCAAGCTGTCTTCATAAGCTCACGCGGAAGTTTTGGAATCACACAATCTGGTGTTTCATATGCCTCCAAAACTGGTGTAAAAGCAAACAAAACTTGGCGCTTCAACTCCACAATAGTCAACACCTTCGTTTCCAAAATAGCCAGATCGGTTGCTTTGTATTTCATAAGATATTCCAACACACTCTTCTCATCATCTTCGCCCTTGTAGCCGGCTAATTTTGCCAGCGGATATGCATATCTCTCACTTCCACTGTTCGCCCATTCTGATATAGCGGTGCCAGACATCAAAATAGCACGATGAAATAGCCCTTTGGTCTGCTCGGTGATACACATATAATGTGTTGAAGCGCCACCAGCACTCTCACCGAAAACAGTTATACAGTTTGTATCACCACCAAAGTTAGCAATGTTACTCTTTACCCAACGAAGAGCTAAAACCTGATCCTTTAAGCCAGCATTGCCAGGCACATTCAGTTCCGGTGAGTTTAAGGAGAGAAAGCCTGTGAGTAAAGAAATTGTGGGTAGAGATATACATAGTATGATAAGTTAATTAATAGCACGAACCGAAAACACCCAGGCGATATTGTATGGTAACTAAAATAACATCCTTTTCCATGAAATAGTCAGGACCGAACCAATCTCGATTGGCTTCACCAACAGCAAACGCACCACCATGTATCCAAACCATAACTGGACGTGGTTTATCGGATGACAACTACACACATGTTGAAGAATAAAGATTTAGAATTACAAATTTGTATTTCATAAAACTGAGATGCTATATATCGGTATTGTTACTCACATCTCTAGTGTACACATTCAAGTATAGACAATCCTCTGATCCCTCCGCATTATTTGTCATCAAATGCAATTGCACCGCTCGATCCTTGGGACCAAGGCAATCGAGTACACCATTCCATGGCTCTGGCCGCTGTGGTGCTTTGAAACGTAGCTCACCCACCGGTGGTTTTGCGAAAGGTATACCCTCGAAACTATAATAGGGCACATCGTAGAGGGTTCTCCGCTTTATGCCTTTCACTTGACCATACTCGGTGTTGACGATGACTGTCTCGTTTGTAGAGAGCCGGTACTGAGTGAATTTATGTTCAAGTACGCTGCAAGAGCAATAAATTTTCAAAGTTTTATTCCATAAAATTTTTTACGGCTTGATCACAAGAAAATAATGTGAATTTGGGGTGCAAGCAAATATATCGAAAATAAATAAGTGTGGTTGACAGCGACAGCTTTCGGCGCAGGGGCGCTGAGGTTTAGGGTGTACCTCGTGCTCCGAAAAATCCAAATAGCATTCGGGAAACCTGAAGTTGAAAGCTTCATTGTATCTGCTATCAGTTATAGCAGTCAAATGCATACGTATGCATACCTTGGTTACCCCGGGCCAGTAGCGAAAGTTAAATTAAAGACAAAAAGCCCGTGAAAAGTTGTCTAGTATAAATATAAAAGTGTGCAGCACTAAACTCTATAGAAAATCACAATTTCAATGTAGATATAATCGCGTATGTGCATATATATTTATAAGTGACATATTCGTTCTTTAGTAGTTATTTTTAAAAGCTCAGGTATCTACCGCCATGCGTATGCCCATGATTTCACTTGATCTGCCGTTGACCCATTGCTCATAACTGCTTTAGAGAAAATTGCATACATTACTGAATACGATTGGACCTGCTTTTGGAAAGAATTGACATTCCGCAAACCCAGTTGGAATTACTGAGTCCTAGAATTTTTGCGAAAGATACTTAAGATTAACCTTAAATGATAAACATAAACGAAATTCTTGAACCTGGATAGTACTTTTGACTCAAAAGGGGTATTAAAAAAAATGTCAGGTTTCTTAAACTGAGGTACTGACTTAACTCGGCCATTGAAAATGGGTGCAGTCTTCACTATTCCCTTACAAAATAAGCGTAGGGATTTCTAGCTGTCGGCTGATGTAGCGGAGTTACTAGAGGTGCATACAACCTCAGAATTCGATCCCTAGTCCGAAGAACATATAAAAAAACAAGTAAGAAAGTCTAAGTTCGGGCGGAGCCGAACATTAAATACCCGGCGCAAGTGTTAAATATATGTTTTCCACCTTTCCGAAAGCTACCGCTACATGGTAAGCAGGGGTGTATACATTTTAAGTAAATTAGCGTCCTTAAATTTCGAAATATTGCAGTTTCAAGCGTATCTGAAATTTACCGTTATATGAAAAGCGGCCGTAATCTTAGTCCGATTTCAATAATTTTCAACGGTTTGCTTTTATGTGGCAAGCACAATAACCATACCGAGCTTGGTACAAATTGCTAGAACGGTTAGCGAGATACATATATGTGATCACAAGTGGGCGGTGCTACGCCCATTTTCCAAAATTTTGTCATAAACGTATTTCTTGGTAAAGAATTGTTGCAATCATCAATTTTGAATAAATTAGCTTCAATATTTACTGATTTATCGAAGATTTTGTATTTCTC